TTATAGATATGCACCATTATGTCTAGCCATAGTAACTCGAATTATTGTTTTTCCTTTTAAAAAGTGGGCTGTAAACATTTTATAAAAGGTTTACATTTCAGAGATATATATAACTTTGGGGGGTACTTTTTGAGACAGGGTCTCCTTGTAGCCCCAGCTGTCCTGAACTCACTATGTAGACCAGGCTGGCCTTGAACTCACAGAGATCCGCCTGATTCTGCCTCTGGAGTGCTGGGGTTAAAGGCATGTGCCACCACGCCTGACTATTGTTATATTTTATATATTAAAAGCACTTTATGGGGCTGGAGAGATGGCTCAGTGGTTAAGAACACTGGCTGTTCTTGCAGCAGACCTGGGTTCGAATCCCGGCACCCACATGGCAGCTAACAATTGTTCATAACTCAGTTCCAGGGGATCCAACGCCCTCTTCCGACCTCTGTGGGCACTGCATGACATGGGTGCACTTACATACATGCAGGCAATACACACATATACATAAGAAAATATATATATTTTTTAAAAAAGCACTTTATGCAGATATGTCAGAGGGCTGTACATATATCTCAGTGGTAGAATGCTTATTGTAGACTGTGTGAAGTCCTGGATTTGATCTCTAGAACTGTAAAAAACAGACATTCCAGAGACCTAGTATTGTCATAAAATTCATAGGTAACAAAACAGTGTAAGGATGCCATCTGTGTTTCAGCGTTGGGGTTAGGATATAAAACTATCATTAAGTAATAAAATAATGGGTAATATGTTGAGAAAAAATATTACAGCTTGGAAGCCTACTGAGAGATGGGAAGGTTAGGATGTAGGGTTAGTTGCATCCTTGGACAGAGAAGACGAAAGTGAGTGTAGAGTCTGGGAAATGATCCCTTGTGTGATTCTGGGGACTGAGAAATCCCTGAAAGAATAGCTCATCATGATGCTTGGGAAGCTCAGAACACTGGTAATGCTTAACTGGGAAATACATATTCAACAGAAGACCAGAAATTTGAAAAGCAGAGGACAGGTATCTTTACCACACTGAAAAGACATGCCTCATGTATTTTCCAGAAAGTCCAGGTCTCCTTCTGAGCGATGACTCTGGAAGACCTCCTGCTGCCATGGTCTGGCTCCAACCTTCAACTGCGCAGGAAACTACCAAACAATGCTAGTTTCCTACTTTTTTTTTGATGTATTGGTAGTTGTCTCCAGAGCGGGATCTCTTAACCTGCTACTATTGAAATTTTGGGTTCTAATTTGTTTTTAGTTGAGACAGGGTCTTTCCATAGCTCCAGTTGTTCTGGAACTATGTAGACCAGGCTGGCCTTGATCTCATAGCTCTGCCTGCCTCCTGAGTGCTGGGATCAAAGGCATGCGTCACTATACCTGGTTTCCTAATTATTTTTATACAGCTTTTTTATTAGCATATATTATGCATAATGGGTTTCATGACATTTTCATACATGTATATAATGTATTGTGAACATACTGGACCCCATCACACTCTTGTCCCTTTCTGACTTCTGATCCCTTTCTTTTCCCAACTCGTAGCCCCTCTTCCTCTTTAATTCCTTTCTTGAGTTATCCAATGAGTTTCATTACCATTCATTACAGGACACAGATGAAAGACTGTGTATGGGAGCATGGGCATCTTATCAGTGGCCCACCCCCACGTCTCTCCCTCCCCCAGCAACCATTAACTAATATAGATCCTCTGGGAGGGGTGAGCCTCATGAACCCTGACCCCTAGCAACTATTATCTACTAACTGTTAAATCCTCATGGTGGGGGTTGACCATATAATTCTCTTGTAGGACTGTTTCATGCTTGGCAGGATAGGATGTTTAGCAGCATCCCTAGATCTTACCCACTCAACACCAGCACTATTGTTTTTGTGCTGGGGATTGAACCCAGGGTTTCATGTATGCAAAGCACATGCTTTATCACTGCAACATCTGCCTTCAGCTCTTCCAGGATTTTTTGAAAATTTTATTTTTATTTTACGTGTATGAATGTATTTTGCCTGCATGTATGTAAGTACACCCATGCCTAAGGTGGTCAGAAGAGGACACTGGATTCCCTGGAACTGGAGTTATAGATAGTTGTTGGCTTCCAAGTGGGTGCTGGGAACTGAATCTGGGTCCTCTGCAGGATAACCACTGAGCCATCTCTCCAGCCCCTATTTATGTATGGGGGGAGAGGGAGGGAGGGAGAGAAGAAGAAGAAGAAGAAGAAGAAGAAGAAGAAGAAGAAGAAGAAGAAGAAGAAGAAGAAGAAGAAGAAGAAGAAGAAGAAGAAAGAGAGAGAGAGAGAGAGAGAGAGAGAGAGAGAGAGAGAGGAGACTCCTTGTAGTCCCAGGTGGCCTGGAACTCACTACATAGACCAGGACTGCCTCTGCCACCCAAGTGCTGGGATTAAAGGTGGGTACTACTATATCTGGCTCTTCCATAGTTTTTAAAGGTCCAGGATGGCTTTACTATCTTTTGAAAAAAAATCCCAGGGTAGACAAGTTGTAAAACTTGTCAGTAGTCTGGAGGAGGGAGATTGAAAAGAAAAAGCCATGCTGCTGTTTGGTTAAGTTGGCATGGAGGGCAACCACATGGCAGAGAAGTAGCCACATGCTGAAGCTTTAGAGAAAGAGTGAAAAAGCCCAAAGTACCAGAGAAAGCATACTTAGACTCTAGTCAGCAACCTAAAGCAAAAGACAGAATAAAAAGGAAACATTTCTTTTTTGAGACAGATCTTCCTGTAGCTCCAGCTGTCCTGGTACTTGCTATGTAGACCAGGCTGGCTTCTAACTCAGAGATATCTTCCTGCCTCTGCCAAGTACTGGGATTAAAGGCATGTGCCACCATGCCCGGCAAAAGGAAACATTTCTAAATCAGGACTCATAAAGATGGGCAGACCCAAAAGAAGCTCATGGCAGCTCACAGGGACTCATTAGGGGGTGGAAATTCTGGGAAGGAAGTTTATTATCTGATTAAAGAGCTAATTATGCCTTCTATCTAGCATGGCTTAAGGTGAAGCTGCCTTCCTGAGGGGTGGTCCTTTGACCACACCAACTGGATTAATTTTTATAGGAGGAGGCAATGACCTACCTCCACAGAGGAAGATTTCATTCTCTTTAGCTAGGAGTAAACAGCTTTCCCTTAATGGGCCTTCAATGCTACTGTAACATCCCCCTCTAAGAGGTAACCCTACAATTATTAGGAGTCAGCCCCCCCCCAAAAAAAAACTCGCATTTCTGGCCTCCAGAACAGGACTAAAGACATTTTTGGCATAAAAGACTCATCTCCAGGCAGTACCATGTCTGCTGAGTGCGAACTCCACCCCTACCACTGAGAGCACTTCTCAGGATGATGGGAGGCCAGCATCTTCTGAAAGTTCCAGGCCAGCTATGGCTACAGGAAGATCCTGTCTCAGAAAAGACAAAACAAACGAAGGCACTAAGGAGTATATTTAGTGCTTTTCATTCATAGGTTATTTCCATCACCCAGTTAATGGGAAAAATAATGAGCATGAGTGGATTTTCACTTACTAAACACCTGCTTCAGTAATTAAATCCTAGATTCCTTCAAGGAAATTTGTCATTTGGTCATTGGTTTATGCCAGGTGTTTAGATGATCAACTTGCTGAATGCGGATATGGTAATAACTAGTCTTTTTTTTTCTAAGACAGGGTCTCTCTGTAGCCTGGCTGGCCTGGAACAGGCTATATAACCTAGGCTGGCCTCGACCTCAGAGATCTTCCTGCCTCTGCTTCCTGATTAAAGGATTAAACACATGTGCCACCATGCTCAGCCTATGACTAGTCCTTTGAGTAGATCTAAAAATGACAGGAGTCTGACAAAATGTCAAAGAAACTATTTATGAAGAAGACACAGGCTTAATCTTTCTGGGTATGGTGGTGCATTCCTGTAATTCCAACACTTGGAGCACCAAGGCAGTAAGATTTGAAGTTCAAGGCCAGCCTGGGTGACAGAAAATTCCAGGCCAGCCTGGAAATTAGTCAGAGCCTGTCTCAAAAAAAACCCCAAAAAAACAAATAAAAGATACAGGATTATTCCATGGGTAAAAAAAATGTACTTTTTAGGTTCTAAAGACGAAATCTTAAAAATGGATGTTAATAAGACTATCATAAATCCATTTAACAGTAAATGCCAAGTCTTAGTGGTTTCCAAAATTTTGATGACACGCGAGCATTTAGAATACTCTTAGAGTGGTGGCCTTTCCAGGGAAAGGGACTTTGTTCCTATACTGAGGGCTTTAGTATGGAGGACAGGAAGAGGTAAATTCTCCTGGATACCAGGCCCCTTAACACCATGGCACACCTACAGAATTACCATAAAGCGATTGCTGTATTGGGGTGGCTAAGGGGTAAAGCAGCAACGGACTTCTGCTTTGTATGTGGTCATCTGTGAAGTGCTAGTTATGTATACTTCGAGATTCAATTTTTATTTCTTAAACTAAATACAAACATATAAACTACTTTTAAATTTGGTCTTAGTTGGAAACATGAGTTTAGGGAAAAGAGGGATCCAGAGAGCTTTATGTTATTATACACCAGTGATCTTGAGCTTATCCCAATCTGATGCTGTGGAAGGTGCTCACAACTTACTGTTTGCTGCTTTCCTCAAAGGTTTGGAGAGGTGAGAAGTACTGGATTGTTAAGAGGTAAGAAACTAGAATTAGCTTGTCTGGGTTCAAAGTCTCATTCTCCTTATGCTAGCTAGATAAGTAACCTTGGGTAATTTACCTGAGTTTCAGTTTCTTCATGTATACAATAAATAAATAGTTATGAGCATTAAATGACAATTCATCTGGTCTGCTTATTACAATTCCCGACACATGGTATGTACTTTATAAATGGCAGTTATGGTTGTTATGAGTTTGGCTCAATCTGACATTTCTTACTCTGGAAAGACAGGGTGTGTTCAATGTCTATCTTGAATAGTAAATATCTTTGGATTATGACATGGATATTGATATTATCCAAGAAATTGCTATTGTAAAATATGGTAGTAACACAATGACCTTTATTGAAAAGGTCCAAACATCAACACTAAAGTATTTTTCAGTTCAGTTTGTCGAAATACTTCAGTTTTCCAGCTGGATCTGGGATTATCTGTTAAAACAAAACAAAACAAAAAGCAAATTACTCATTTTAAAAGCACCTCAAAGTATATCATTAAGAGTTTGGCATTAATTGCCCATCTCTTGACTATAGAAGATATAAACACTGGTTTTGTACACCAAATCATATTATGTAAACATTTAGGAAAAACTATTTGCCCTACCTGCTAATCTCAGCTATCTCCCAAAGCAAGTAATGTATTTCTCAAAAAATTAACATCTGTACCAAGGCAACCCAAAATCTACTTACAGCTCTTCTCTTGGCCACCAGACTTTCATAGTACCTTCAGGTTTGATCTATAGTTAAATCAAACACATTGAAAGCATGGCTACAGATGTTAATGTATTTTAAAAATGATTTGTTGATTCAACGACAGTATACCACAATAACCTGAAAGGGGGGCACTGCGTATCAAATGAATTTGGGGAAGACTTTGCAGTACTGAAGGTTGATCCCAGGGCCTTGCAAATGCTAAGTAAGAACTCTATTTCTGAGCTGTATCTACAGCTCCTTTTTCTCCTATTTTTGGAGACAGGGCCTCACTATGTTTTTTAGTTTATTTTTGAGCACATTCTGTAGCCCAGGCAGGCCATGAACTTTTGATCCTACCTCATGAATATTCTGAAAGAAGGAGGAATTCCTCCAAGGAACATCATAGTTTTAAAAACCTGTTAGACTTACAACAATTTTTAGAGTGCAGTGTGGTGGTATATGCCTGTAATCTCAGCCCTTCGCAAGGTGAAGGAAGGATAGGAATTAAAAGACATCCTCAGCTTCACAGCAATTTTGAAGCTATTCTGGCTTACAATGAGATCCTGTCTCAAAACACACCAACCAACCGACCAACCCACCCACCTACCCTCTCCCCCTACAAAAATGCAATTTCTAATATTATTTGACCTTACATTAACTATGTTAGTCTCTAGTTAAAGGCAAAACACACTTATGCTTATGTATAAAAACCTATTATAATCACTGCAACTCACTGACTTTGAACCAGCTTCTGACAGGTTTGCAAAAATGCTTTTGCCTTTGAGATCAAAGTTACTGTTACAATACCAGATTATTAATATCTACAGAAAACTTATGTATCTTAAAGGGGATTTAAAGTTATGCACTAAAGGTACCTTCGACACTAGATACTTTCTGTCTATATGCACATAGTAAAACCAACTGTGACTAAAAAAATAACATCATAGATATATCCTGAGTATCCAGCTCCTGAAAGATTAGCGAGAGTTCCCAAGAAGTACAGATTCAGTAGGAGGGGTATGGCAGGATGAGATTTATACATTTCAGAAAACATGTTATCGATCCACTAGATTAACTTTTGGGGGCCAAAAAGATCTTTGAGAATCTGATGAAAACTATGAACTCTCCTGCCAGAAACTACACATATTAGCATAGACTGTGTTTAACTGACAGAAGTCATTCTCTATTTCTCGGTTTGGTCATTCTTTCAACACATATTTACTGAGCACCTGCTACATGACAACTATTTAAACTCTTATGACGGCTAGACAGGCTGCTTAGTGAACAACAAAGCTAATGTCCCTTGTCTTCAGACACATTCTAATAGTCATTCCTAGATTGTGGTAAATGCTTTTGAAGACAAGTTGATGAGATAGTGCATGGGGTAGATATAGAGTGCTCAAGAAAGACTTCCAAGATGACATTTGAGCTGAAATGTGTGTGAAGAGAGGGAGCCAGCCAATCATGCAGAGATCAATGTAGAAAGAACAGCAAAGGGGCCGGAGAGATGGCTGAGTGGGTTAAGAGCCTTTGCCATGCAAACATGGTAAGTCCCTGGAACCCACGTAATGGTGGAAGGGGAGAAAAAAATCCACAAAGTTGTTCTCTGACCGTCAAATACATATTGTGGCATGCGTAACTCACCCCAGTACCACACAAAGAAAAAAAAAAAAAAAGAACAGCAAGGGTACAGCCCTGAGGCAGAATCCATGTTCAAAGAAGAAAAAGGGGCATATCTGAGGGTAAAGAATTAACTACCACCTCTGGTTGTCTCTGGCTAATGGTATTTTTAAAAAATTTATGTGAGTGTACTGCTTGCATGTATGTAAGTGCACCCATGTCATACAATGCCCATGGAGGTCAGAAGAGGGTGTCGGATCCCCTGGAACTGGAGTTATGGATGGTTGTTAGATGCCATGTGGGTGCTGAGAACTGAACCTGGGTGCTCTGTCAGAGTAGTCAGTGTTCTTAACTGCCGAGTCATCTCTCCATTCCCAGTATTTTTTATTTTAAGATCAGTTTTTCCTTCCATGCTCCAGTATCTTTCAGTTTTCTATAGTTTGTGTAAAACTGATTTTTCAGAAGATTAAAAATCTGAAGATTTAAAAAATATTTTATTGATCATTTTTATTTTTTATGTGTATAAATGTTTTGTCTACATGTACGTAAGTGCATCTGTGTTGTACAGTGCCCATGGAGGCTAGAAGAACTGCGTCAGATCCCCTGGAACTGGTGTTATGGATGGTTGTTAGCCACCATGTGGGTACTGAGAACTGAACTCGGGTCCTGTGCAAGAGCAGTCAGCGCTCTTAACTGCTGAGCCATCTCCTTAGTCCCTCAAAACCTGAAGATTTTTAGATGTTAAGAAAAGGTTCAAGCAAGTTTCCACATTGTATTCTAGCCAGAGACTACTTCAGAGACTGACTATAAATTGAACAGCATCCTCAAAGCGAGGGAGTATAGCTGTTTCAATCTTTTCTTTCTTCAGACAATGAACATTAAACCCAAATTTTTGCAAAGGCTTTTACTGTGCATAGAGAAATTTTGCTTAGGACTGTTAACAGTCACAATATAGGAAGAAATTCTATATATGACCCCTAAACTTATTCTACCAAATTTCTCCTCTGCCTTTTTTGGTTTCATCTTTAGAACAGTGAGTGTATTGCTCTGGATACTTAGCTTTAAAATTCATAGCATTAAACCCCTTATTTCTCCAGTTTTAGCCACTCTTCCTGTAGTCTGAGGAATGACTACACTTTATGATTTCTGCTTAGCAAAGTTTACTTCATTTCAGGTATCAGACAGTTTGACTACAAGGAAAGACCACCCTAAGTCGGCAGGTACTTGGCTTCAGCCATGGCTTTAACAGAAAAATCAACAGGACTTACTGTTTCACTACCAGGTTTCCAGCCAGCAGGGCAGACTAAAAGGAACAAAATGAGAAAAAGATAGTTTAAAAAGATAGATTATTAGTGTGATACTGAATAATGCTAAAGATCACATTAATTAAAAAAGCTAAATCAGAATGGCCATCCTAACAAATATACAGAAGTTAACTGAGACAGATAAGAGTTTGGGGCTGGGCAACTGTTTGGGTGGCTACCTTAATCTAGCTGTGTAATGTTTCTATTTGTGAGTTCATTACAGTAAAGTGATAAATAAAAAGCTAAAAATGTAAATATACAAATAAAACCTACATTACTAGCCATATTGGCACATTTTAAGTTTATAGAAAACAGAATTTCAGAAATTGTAGGAGAAACTTTCCTCTTTGAATTTACCCAAAGAGACTATGCAAATATTGAATATTTTTGCATCTTACCACAGTAAGCAGAATATTCTACTGGTATTTTGCTAAAAAATTTAAATAATAATTTTGCTTTCTAAAAGAAAGCTACTAAGTTGAAAAAAAAGTAAGCAGAAGATTTTGGAAGCCTCCAAATTGCACTGAGGATAGGAAAGCAAATTATGCTGTTTCTTACACTAAAAATAAAAAAAAGGGGGGATGTACCTTCTCCATGCTTGTCGGTGTATTGGAATGCTTGAACCAAACGCAGTGTCTCATCCACCGATCTACCCACGGGAAGGTCATTCAGAGTAATCTGCCTTAGGACTCCTTTGTCATCGATAATAAAGAGGCCTCTGGAAATCACAGGGATGGTAAAGGTGAGCCTTCCTTCTCAGTTAAGTATGTTGCTATATGGAATCAACAGTATATCACTTACCTACTCTATTGGTGTATGCACGTGCACACACACACACACACTCTCAACCTCCCCACCTACTACAGAATTTTGGATTATTACTGTTAAATGGTTGCTTTAAAAAATGGAAGGGCCCCTTCCCTCCCTCAGGATTTATAAGCAGCTAGTCCTTGCTGGGGGTGGCTCACAAGGCTTCATACCTTCTTGGGGATCTATAGGCAGTTAGTGGTTGCTGGGGGAGGGAAGAGATGTTTCTGTGGTAAGGTGCCCATGTTCCTATAAACAACCCTAATTAAACTCACTGGATCACACATACACACAGACATACAGACACTAGACGATTTGGGAAGATGATCAGCAGGAATGGGACAGAAAGGTGTAATGGGGGGGATGACTATAATAAAAACACACTATATACATGTATGAAAAGATCATAATGAAACTCATTATGTATAACCAACATATCATAATAAAATTTAAAAACACCACTTAATCTGACTTTTAAAAACCATGTGCCTATATATAGTACTTTGGAAATAAAAAAGCCATTTGTGGTGGTGCACATCTGTAATCCCAGCACTTGTGAGGCAAAGCCAGAGAATCAGGAGTTCAAGGTATCTTTGGCTATATAGTAAGTTCAAGGCTAGCCTGGGCTACATGAGAAACCGTGTCTCAAAAATTTAAAAAAAAGAAAAAAAGGAAAAAAAGAAGCTATTTCTCAAAATAAAATAAAAGAGTTATTCAACTGTTTTAAGCTAAAATGCCCTTTTAGCAAAGAATTCTATTTGCATTTATTAATTCAAGTATATTATGCACTTATTAATTCAAGTATATTAGTTCATATAATCTATTGAAAGCTGCTAGGTAAGATACTGCCTCAGTTTTCCCAAAGACACAGGGTTTTGAAATATTATATTTGCATTAGAAAAACATTACTGTAGTCAGTTTAGAGAAAATGAAAGAAAAAAGAAAAATAAAACAGCTAAAGACTTGGGAGACCGAGAGGTAAATCTGGCCTCTGCCATAACATAAGAGTCTATGAAGCTGTTTCTTTTCTTCTAAAAATAGAGGGTTGCCAAAGGCCTCTGGCTCTAGCAGTGTGTGACACTAGCACAGTTTAAGTAGGCCCCAATGGTTTAAAGAATAGCTACAACATTCCTGCATTTGCAAGAGCAAAATAATATCTAATCAAAAGGGAAGGGGTCCGAATATGATCAAAATATACTGTATAAAATTCTCAAAGAATTAATAAAATGTTATTTTAAAAAACGTATCACCTAACTTATAAATAGTATTTATTTCTAAGAGGATTAATGACTTGGACTTTTCAAAATTTTAACCACCAAAAGGTACCTAAGCGTGTGGCCTGAGTCCTCGAGGTATACACCGTAGTCCTTTGAGATCTGATGGTTCAGGTCTGAAAGAAGTGGAATTCTTATTGGCCCCAGTCCTCCCTGTCTTCTAGGGGTATTAATCCTGTAATAGACAGAACATATACCTCTCAGAGCTAAATAAATGACATATTAAAAATCAACTTTCTTTCTGTACATGCAAATATGTAAACATAATTATAATACATATATTCTGTAACAAAAGACTAATATACTTTCTTTTTTCCTGCCTTTTCCCCTCACTGAACAGTATATCCATATCCTTTAAGTACTAAATATTGATATGTAAGACATTTTTAACATATGGAATACTACAGTTTACTAATCTCTACTGACAGACATTAAAGTGATTGCATTTTTAAAATAAACACTGCTGTAAGAAAAAAAAGGCTGGATATGATGGAACACACCTTTAATCCCAGCACTTGGGAGGCACAGGCAGGCTGATCTCTGTGAAGTCAAGGCCAACCTGGTCTACATAGTGAGTTCCAGGCCAGCTAGGGCTTTAGAGAAGCCCTGTCTCAAAAACAAACCCAAAACACTGCTGGGTGCAATCCTATATTCTCGTCATTGTAAACCTCTCTGATTAACTTCTAGAAGTAGAATTGATAAAGGATATGCACTGTCATAAACACAATCTTAGGAGTGATCACAAGACAAAGACTTGGGAAACAGGCAGCACACCGTGCAAAGACCTTTTCTTATTCTGCAAGGTAAAGAAATACAGTCCACATGAAGATGAAGCAGTGAGGGAAATTAGTCATAATCTCTGATGCAATGCATCAGTCCTCAGATTTAGATGTTCTGTAAACTGAAATCACAGTACTTGTGGGTTGGTGTCCCATGGAAGGATGCTGACATTGCAGCAAGAACCAACTACTATGGGAATGCCATTTCTTCCCACCCCTATCAACACTGGATTTTCTTTTTAATCTTTTCAATTGTGGCCAATCAAACAGAAATGGCTTCTTTTGTCATTTTAATTCGCAGTTGCTTGCAACTACTTAGGTGGTGCTTCTCTTCACGATTAATGATTTTTTGGGGGGGGGTCTTTTTGAGACAGGGTCTCCCTGAAGACCCCAGCTGTCCTGGAACTCACTATGTAGACCAGGCTGGCCTCGAACTCAGAGATCCATCTGCCTCTGCCTCCCAAGTGCTGGGATTAAAGGCGTGAGCCACCACACCCGGCATTAATTAACGAATTTTTTAATGTTACATTTAGAATTTTTATTTTTTGAGATAGGGTCTCACTTGGTAGCCTGGGCTGTCCTTGAACTCATAGAGATCCTTCTGACCAGCCTCCCAGAGTGCTAAGAGTATGGGTATGAATCACTATACCAGTCTAAAATTAACTTTTAAAAATCATTTCTTTTGAAAACAATAAAAGCTAATGAGTTGAACCACCACACCAGAAAATGGCATATTTTAAAGATTTTTTTCTTTACATTAAAGTTACCCAAGTAATTATAATAAGATGGTCATGCTAAGAGCTATCTGCACACAATTTAAGAGTAAACGTATTCTTTTTATCCCACATCTTTAAAGTAAAATACTGACCAGGCCAAATGGGTAAACTGAGAATCAACAGAACATGCCACCACTTCAGTATTTATAGATCTGAATTCTTCAATTCTATCACCAAAAGCGATGATTTCAGTTGGACACACAAATGTGCTGAAAGTTAAAAACAGGAAACAAAGCAAGTCAGTATTCTCAAAATAAGAATATACCTAAATATACCCGTACCTTAAGACCAATTGATAGATTGAATTTTCTACAAATGAAATTCTAAAGTCTGTATTTAATAAAATAACTCAAAAGAAATTTTATTCAAGTCCCCAAATTTCAATAAACTTTCTTCTCATAATTTGATTGATTAGTGACTGACCAATGTTCCCTTCTTCCTCCTAACAGTACCCCTATTTCATTAGTTTTTATTAATACCTTTTGTATTTTAGTGCTTTACAGGTTTCAAGGGATCCACATAAACATATCATTTGGCTACTTTTTTTTTTATTCCTATACCAACCATTTGGGCTAGCCACATCTACATGAATTTTGAGATCAGGCAATGTTTTCTAATCCCACCCCATGCTTCTAGATAGGTCCTCTTCCACATTGTGTCCAAGGGATTTTTATAGTGAAATACCCTGTGTGTGTGTGTGTGTGTGTGTGTGTGTGTGTGCGCGCGCAGGACATGTTGAAAGAGTATTGCCTCGGGCAGTATTTTTCAAACCACGGTAGAGATTCCTTCAACTAATTTACTGAGCTGAAATCAATATTCAAATATAAAAAGAAATATGACAACACATCATTGCATAGTGAAAGACACATATATGTAAATGCATATATATGTGTGTATGTGCATGTGTGTATGTTTGGTTGTGATAACTTGAAGTTCAGTTTAGCGCTTACATTTTCTGAAAGGGAGTTTTGGGAGGTTCAAATTGGAGAGGAGGTCAGGAATGTGGTTATTTGCCACCCTGTATGGAAGTTCTCAGTATTTTGACATCAAGTATGGCTATGCTGGTGCAGACTGAATGTCACCCTACGTGTGCCTGCATGCATGTGTACTGGTTGGCAATAAAACATATACTTCCTACTGTGTGGACCATGGCCAAAAATTTTGAAAAACACAGAATTAAGGGACAAGTTCCTAGCAGAGCCTAATCCTAGATTAAAAAATAATTCAGGTTTTTAAATCACAGCACTGCCATGTGTAAGTAGACAGTTCTAATTTAGTATTATAACCCTGGTAACCTGGACTATATTATATTTTAGTATTTTCTCAAAGGGTAGAATGGTCAGATTCTTTCTTTCTTCCTATTATCTCAAAAATTACTTAACACATTTTTCCAAGTTCCTACTGAAGATAGAAAATATTCTGGCAGAAGATGAAAGGGCTGTGTGTGACTTTCCACCTTGCCAATTGGCAAGTGCCCCTAGAGTTCTTTCCTTCTCTGAGCAGGCCCAGTCTAGCATTACATGGAGACTATAGGAAGAAGCTATCTTTGCTCTTCGCCCCAGAAGATGAAAGTCAGGCTCTAATGAGATATGCCTTACTCATTACAGAATTTTCAATAACACTGGGGAAAAACAGAACTTACGTTTGTGCTATGTTAGACTAATTTTTAAAAGATTCTAATTATGTGTGTGTGTGTATGTATGTATGTATGTATGTATGTATGTATGTATATCCATGTGTGGGTATGTACACAAGTTGCAGGTGCCCAAGGAGACCAGAGGCACAGGATTCCCTGCAGCTAGAGTGACAGGTGGTTGTGAGCCGGCCAGTATGAGTGCTGGGAGTCAAAACTGGGTCCTTTGCAGAGCAGCAACTATTTTTAACTGATGAGCTGTCTTTCCAGCCCTATATTAGACTAATTTTTTTGAAAATTCAGAGTTGATGTTACATATATAAACTTTATGGCTTTATAACAATCTGAATTTACAAGGCCTGTAATTTTTATATCAAGACTTCCACTCCTGATCTCTGTTAGAAATTAACTTAATTTTTAGCTAGTGGAGCCAGAGTATGAGCTGATAAGAGAGATAACTTGTTTTGGCCTTAATATCCTAATTTTTGTTAGAATTATTTCCAATTAGCTTAGTACAAGGGGCTGGCAAACTTTGTTCTACAGGCCAAATCCAACCCTTTTGGGTGAAATTTATGTGCAATAATGCAACAATCACAATCACATATACATATACATGGTCTGTGTACAGCTGCCTGGTAAATGTGGTAAAAATGGTAAATATGGACAGTTGCACAGAGACAAGATTTAATAATTTCCTTTTTTGAGATAGGGCTTCACTATGTATCCCTGGTTGGTCAGAACTTGCTATGTAGCTTGAACTCAGAACTCTCTCTGCTTTGTCTCCCAAGTGCCGGGACTAACGATACGTGCCACCATGCCCAGCTAATTTACTGTTTTTTTGTTTTGTTTTGTTTTTGTTGGTTTTTTGTCTTTTTGAGACAGAGTCTCCCTGGAGCCCCAGCTGGCCTGGAACTCACAGAGATCTACCTGCCTCTGCCTCCCAAATACTGGGAATGAAGGTGTGCACCACCACACCCAGCTAATTTACTGGCTTTTGTCCTTTACAGAAAATATTTGTCAACTCCTGGCTTACAAAAATATCTACAGAAATTAGTTTAATTTTCATCTTCATAGTTCTATCTAGATCAGTCCTCATGGAAAAAGGCACAATGAAAAAGGTGTGTGTGTGTGTGGGGGGGTTCTCTTTCACACTCATCTTGAGTATGGTATACCCAGAATAATATTTTTCAGAATAAACTCCTTGATGTGAATAAAGCTATAAGGGAATCCACTTTGAGTTAACTTTATGACCATCCACAAAAATGTTCACTGCTGGAACTGAAGACCCCACAATCATAAAATATTCAAATGTCAGGGAAACAGAAACAGCAAATAACAATGGCAAAGTCATGAGTAAACAGAATAATGTATTAACTCTTGCATTAACTGCTAAGATATTAAGTCTATTTTCTTGTTTTATTACCTATGGCTTAAGGAATATATTATAATTTTCTCTAATTATTCCTTTATAACACTATCATGTAGATGGAAGTAGAAAATACTGATGTCATTGATTTGTAACTCAGATATATAGTAGATCTTACCTTTCTTAATACATTTTGCATTCTGGCTTGCCATTTTAAGAATCAACAGTTGAATAAACATTTTCTATTTGTTGTTTTGAGTAATGAATGACAAGGACTGACATTTTATTAGTGGCTATTTACATATATTACTTACAAATCAAGTGGGTAGAAGAAAAAAACCAAGTATTTCCCACGATAGTCAGTCAATTTGAGTTCCTTAAATTCTCCATTTATCACAGCTGTTCCTTCCCAATAAGGCGCTGGCTTGGAAACTAAGAAAGAAAAAGACATAATGTTCTGTAACACTGAGAAAGTTGGTAGAATGTCAAAGGACATCTTTAGTAAATCATCAAAAATTGGGGCTTCGAAACCTTCAGACTTCATTGGCAGTCTGGTGAAGCTTACAGACTGCTTAGAACTTGGAACAGTAACTTAGTGTTAGAGAATACATAAAACACATAGAATGACAAAGGAAACCAATTACACTGCAATGCAAGAATAAATGTATTTAAAAAGTTGGTGATGTAGTAATACACGTGTACTCTTTTTTTAGTAACACTTTCAAGTCGTAGGATCTGGAAATGATCCTATAACTACCTAAGATAATAGTAGATGTAAATGTTGTCAGGACTCTTTTGCAATAGCTATCACATAGCCTGTAAGTCTCCACACAAGAGGATGAAATGCTAAATTGCAGTAAGTAAAAGTAGTTTTTACAGATTTAAAAATGATTATTGTAATTATTAACACACATTACTTGTATAAAATGAGAAAAATTTGTCTGCCCATGTTCACAGAAACCTCCATCTTATCCCTGTAACTAAATCTTACTGGATAGTTCGCTTTTTTTTTTTTGAGAAAAGGTCTCACTATGAAGCCCTGGCTGGGCTGGAACTGCTATGCAGACCAGGCTGGCTTCAATGTCACAGAGCTCCTCTGCCTTCCAAGTGCTGGGACTAAAGACCTGTGCCATCATACCTGGCCCCTACTGGATATTTCACTATAACCCCTCCAAGCTATCAGTTCCCTCCACTTCAATTATTCTTTCTTTTTTCTAATGGCAGTCTTCTAGAGGTACCATGTGGACAGTCCATCTTCTCCCATATGCAGGGAAGGCCTGCTGCGGTCCAAGCTCTACACTCAAGGAAGAGGAAATGTGCAAATATATTAGGCCACAATCCCAGATCATGGGATAATTTTCCTAGAAGGCTTTGAGAAAAAAAGAATCCTGGGAGCAGGTTTCAAGTGACCTGATACAAGCTCAATAGCTAGTGCTGCTGTCTTGTATGGGTATGCTGTAACTCTAGCCAGCACCATTTGATAATTATATTCCTTCATGCTGTTGACAGTCAGATAACACTTACTTTCAGAACCATTCTACACTTTGAGATCAATACTTGCTTCCAAGTTTGACAAAGGGTTTTTAGAAAAGACTATACTTTGATATAACAGCTAGTACTTACAGTCACCCTACAAAAAGACAAACTGAAGATGAATTTCTTTGAAGTTAATATATAACATGTAATTATTTACCTTGAGCCAGAAGGGTACCTCACACCACTAATCCTGATCTGATTAGGATTATGAGGAGCAAGGCCAGGAGGGAAAACTACTTAGAAAAGTACTGAACTATATGTTTTATAGACTTTACTTCAAAGGCTTAAATGAGAGGTTATAATAATTGGAATACCCTGTCACAAAACTCCTTAAAGATTTTAGCATATATAGTAAAGCGTGTCAGAAAAATAAATCTTGTTCTGAAATTTGATTTTGCAAATTTTGGGTTTTGATTTAAGAATTGCAGTTACTTTGCTAAGATCTAGAAATACAATTCCCCAAACAGCCTTTTGCTGTTTAAAAAATGCCAGATATGGTGGCACATGGCTTTTATCCCAGTGCTTGGGAGTCAGAGGCAGGTGGGTATCCATGAGTTCAAGGCCAATCTAGTCTACGTAGTGAGTTCCAGGTCTGCCAGGGCTACATAGTGAGACCCTGTCTCAAAAAATAAATACTCCCCCAAAACAAACAAAACTGTCCTAAATATAAATTATAAACTGGCACAAAGATTCTGATAAGTATAATGAAGAATATTTAAACCCCTTCTCTCTCTAACCACCACTACTATTAACATTTTGATGTGTTTCCCATTTTTTTCAAACACAAATTTAGATTGTGCTGCACCTTGGTTTCCCCCTCCTCTTTTAAGCGGTGAATTATGACATTTTTCATGTTGCCGAAATAATTGAAAAACATAGCCATAATGGCTGTAAATAATACCTTTTATGAATACAAATCTGTTTCTCCTAGTTCTAGAGAAGCCTATATATGACACAGCTATGTAGCAAATATATAAAATATCAAAGTTACCAGCAAATGGAAAGCTACTCTAAGGGCTAATTTTTCCCTTTTCCTCTCCACATGTAGTTTTGGAGCTTTCTTTCCAACAGGAAGTATATGTGCTATATGATGTGAACATATTTCAAAAGATCTTCCCCAGGCAAGTGAGCCTTGGAATAGTGGGACTTGGAACAGTATGATTCTAAAAAGCAAAACTGACTTTCTAAAAACAAATAATCCTGAAGTAGTTAACTTTCACTCCGAAACTACAAATGTTTAAGGAGGCGAAAACAGCTTTTCTCATTCATTGTGTTGGCTACCAACATCCCATTCATCTTTGGAGATTCCTAACTGGGATGCAGCCAGTGGTGGGGCACATCTGTAATCCCAGTACTCTGTAGTCCTGGAAGCAGGGGGACCACCAGTTTGAAGCAAGAGTTGTCCAGACCTCATGCCCGAAAAAACAGAAACTTGTGAATATGATTGTTTTTTGGCTAAATACTGGCATGGAATGTGCTTCAACCACCCAAAGTCAAACACACACCTACAGAAGGTGCAGTGATGCCTAGCAAAGACAGGTTAGTGAAAAGAAGTGAGAGATAGTCTTGCAGTATAACCCTGGTCACTTCTTTTTGGCAATCTTAATATCCAGATGCAACAAGCCACAACTTTCTCAGTATCTGGTTAGTGTGACGTGTCTTTCCTGAAAAGTGGCCACTAGTCACTGGACAGAAAGGCAAATAATGAAAAGCCAAATTTGGCAGTTCATGAGACTGATCAACTCAATTCTGTTACCTCCACCCCCACCCCAGTTTCCCTCCAAAATACACTATTCACAGAGTCTTCATTTCTGAGAAACACCAAGAATACTTAGGAACTCTACAACGTTTGAGGAAGACGGCTTTCAATAATAATCTTTGTGAGCTGCAAGAAAAAGAAAAAAAGGAAAATGAACCGTTTGACCTCCTGAACATTTCTGTTTAGCCACTTTTCTGTTTAATCAAACTTTCTGTGAATCATTATTCAACTTATCAATGTACTTTCTTCCCTGAAATAGTACTTGAAAAGCTCCAGGACAGCTGCGATCACTCTCCGCGGTTTAAGGGAAATCTTAGTTTGCACAACATCCTTGATGCCTGTGAGCCCGGGACTTGAGACACCCTCTTTCCCTCATCTGTGGCTTTTTGGGGTAACCGCGACCTCTCCCGAAATCTCATCAGTGGAAACCATTTCTTCGCATCTGGAACATCCCCCTCCATCATCGCACTCCGAGGACACAAGCAGGCGGACCCAGAGCTCAGAGGCAGCCCGGGGGTGCCGCCCAACTCCAGGGCCCCCAGCAGCATCCACACACAGGGTCCAAATGTCGCCGATCCCGGGGTTCTCTCACCCCCTCACCCCCCGACGGTACCACCTACTCTTGGCTTTGCTTAGGTGCAGGGAGTGATCTGCGACCGACACCCGGGACACCTCTCCGGGGTACACCTGTCCACCAGCGTAGAAGTGGCATTCATTGTCGCGGCTCCGGAACCGTTCTTCAGCCTCCAAGCCTTGCAGAGCTCCGTTCCCGGGCAGCAGCAAGACCAGGAGCAGCGGGAGCAGTTTTCGGACCCAGCGAGGAGCCGGAGTCGTCGCGTCCAGTAGCTTCGGCGGCGCCTCCATGACCAGACCAGCGGGAAAACACGTCCCTCACAGCACCCTCACAGAAAGCACCGCGTCTCCCGCCGCCAGGCAGCTAGAACCGCGCGCAC